GGGGGGAGAAAGGATCAAAAAAAGTACACAAAACCCTATTAATATTTTAAAAATATACCTTTCATTTGAAGTTCTGGAAAACAAATTGCCAAAACACATTAAGAAGTATCATCGCCCATGCAGTGGAAACACCTTTTCCTTTGCAAAGACAGAAACTTGATTTTCTCAAACTCAATTCTGTTTTACAAACCTTGCAAAACGAAGTATTTGAAATACACTATACCACTTTTTCATAGCCTTCCTGTTCATAATACGATCACAGGATTACTGGGGATAGGAAGGGAGGGTAAAATTTCCTTTCATGACTGACACGAATCTATTGACAAGCACATCACCCCTATACTTGGATCAGGGCAGAGACCTGCTTGTAATAATATGGCCTTCTGTCTGAGCCTGACTATGCTAGGAGTTATTGATGACAACCTTAAATAAACTAGTAATTAAATCCTGCAAAACACTCCCATGGTTGGGACAGGGTTGTGAGAAGGACAGAGACCAAGCAGCAGTTGTGACCTTGAAAAAAAAGTATTGATCAGTTTTTGCGTTGTGAAAGGAAGGAGGGAAAACTGAAACCAAGCATCCTGAATCATTAATGAGCTCTCACAGGGTGCTCCTAACTCCAGTTTTTTACATATCCAAGTGGATCTTTCCTCAGGCTTCCTCAAAAACAGCACATTCACAAACTATTAATGAAAAGAAACTGCAAATTCATTCAAGACAACATTAAGTACCTCTAGACAACAACCCAAAGGTGTCACTTTATTGTGTGCTTTAGACTATGTAATAATAACACCATATATGTTATATATATTTTTAAATAAACATGTATATGTGTGTTTATACATATTATGTTCATTATTGTGAGCAACTAAAAGATGTTACTGACTGCCTGTGCCACTACCTAGGCTTTCATTAGTACCCACTGAAGCAGAATATGATTTTCCAGTCTTTAGATCTTTACTAGGACTGAAAGGTCTTTGAGCACACTTTCTATTAGGGATATCCATTCGGCCCTAAAAAGGGACTTGCTTGCTGGGGCTTTTTTTTTAGTAGAATTTCCTTCCATAGAATGGAAGGAAATAAAATTATGTGAAAATTTGTAATTTGTGTGGCAGGAAAAATCCAAGTAACTGCTGTTTTGTATTGCACCAAAGCATGAGATACAGGAGGCTTATAATAATTTTCTCTTTATTTACCTTACATTTCACTACATACTCCTTCTTAGTGAGTTTTCCCTCCATAATACATTCTTCAGTTCTTATCCTGAAGTCTCCTTTCCTACAAATTGTCTCAAATAGCTTTAATTTGGGTAGGTCCAGCTACTGTGCTACTTACTGCAACATAAGGAAAGCCTCCTCCTTCAGTCTTGGCTCATCTAGCAGTCTACTGCAAATAATTCTCTATTAATATATTTCTACAGAGATGTTATAATTTAGGTTATAGAACTGCTTTTCTGATTTCAAAATGCCTTTATTAAATAAATCAACCATGTTAAAATATGGGAAAATTATTAAGCCAAGATCTTTTTTAAAATGTGATCAAACCAAGAAAACCAACAGCCAAATGAACATTGACTGTAGCCATCTCCTCTCAGAGAGATGCTCCTCAATAAAGAAAGATATACCAAAAAGAAGCAAATATGAAAAGATTTTTCCTTTACCATCCACTACAGGAAGTAATAAATGCAACAACTTCTGCCCTACTGCCAACACAGCAGTGCATTGGCATAAGTCTATATATAGCTTGTATCTCCACAAAGGAGGGCTCAGTGGTGTCAAAGACAGTGAGTTCACATGCGTAGGAAGTTGGCTATTTTCAAAATATCCATGTGATTAGTTTCCCTTTAACTGCCTGTTTAGTTACCAATATTTTCACTGTCTAGAGATCAGAAATCTATCTCAGAAATACCCTCTTCAAGGACAATGTGGTAACATTAACAAAGACAAGAATTACTATTACTGGAATTAAATTTAGGTGTCTTCTGTAGTAATAGAATGTAAAAACCCACTAGAGTAACAGTGCTGCTTCTGTACTTAACAATTATTGATTTAATGTTGTAAAATAAAATGTTAACCATTATCTTATCTAAAGTGTATAGGTAATTCAAAATTCTGTACTGAAAAATCTCACTCAAAAGTAGATTATCCCTTTTGCCCTGAACTATGAAATATAACAGTTCTGCTCAGCATGGAAATCCACATTTTTGTATGCTAGTGAAAAAACATCCAAAAAAGATTAAAACATCACAGGTAAGGAACAAGCGAGCTAGGCAATGATAAGGATACTCATTTAAGGAAGAGGGAAAGACATGAGGGCAGATTACAGTAGCAGACTACACATGAAGGACAATGTGCAACCATACATTATAACAAACACAGAAGCCAATGTTAGTCCAAAACTGCAGTATGACTTCACAGTCAGTTTAGCAAGAATCTGGTGATGGACAGCTTTACATCAGGTGCATCGGCATTACATGGTTTAGATGCTATGTTAATGTTATGTTATGTTCAGTTTACATTTTCAATCTACCATTGTCTGTTCCATAAGACAAAGGTAATAAACATGAGGTGTTCCATTGCCATGAACTGGACAATGTCTAAATGACATATCCAAGGGTCTCTAAGACCTACAAATTACTTTTCTGACAAAAACAGAAAAAGAATACTCCAAATCAAAAGGCCATTATTAAATACCTTGTTCCTTTTACATTTCAAAAAATTACAAACCTTCACACTTTTTGTGACATAGTTGTGATCAGAACCACAGCTCTTCTGCAAACTTCATACAAAATCAAGGAGGAATAAAATGCAATGGAACACTTCTCTGTAAAAAAATAAGTATGTCAGTAGCAAAAGAAAGTCCAGGGAGAGTCTCCACCCCCTGCTAGATGCAGGAGGAAATTTGGTAACTAGTGATCAGGAGAAGGCTGAGATGCT